GGCTGGATGTTATTATTAATTAATTAATTCATTCATTCATTCAATTTATACTCTGCCCTCCCTGCCGAGGCAGGCTCAGCGGGGCTTACATTAAAAAATCATATATAACAATTAAAATCATTCATAAAAACAACCATAAAGCAAAGGAAGAAGGAGACTAAAAGATGCTTCGGGCCTTCAGGATGACCCTTTGCTTCTCAGTTTGGTGTGGTTAGGAGCATGGACTCTAATCTGGGAGAACCGGGCTTGATTCCCCACTCCTCCTCCACATGCAGCTGCTTGTGTGACCTTGGGTCAGTCACAAGTTCTCTTGGAGCTGTTCTCTCAAGGGCAGTCTTGAAAGAGCTCTCTCAGCCCCACCTACCTCCCAGGGTGTCTGTTGTGGGGAGGGGAAGGGAAAGGAGTTTGTAAGCCGCTCTGAGGCTCCTTCGGGTAGTGAAGGGCAGGGCATAAATCTAATATCTTCTTCTATTAGGCAGCCGTGTTATGTGTGTGTGTGTGTGTTTGTGTGTGTAGGGGGGGAAATGCCAATTGCCTCTCCCAGTGTTTTTGGGCATCGACATGCTTTGGGGCAATTTTGAACTGCAGCATCTGCTGGTCAGACTCTAGTTTTTGCATGGAGGTAAGGGTGGCCAGCTGGTTTCTCTTCTCTCCACTGAAGAAGAGAGGACTAATGTTCCATTTTATCCCTGGGGGAGGGAAACCAAGAGAGGAGGGGGGAGGAGGAGGAGAAGGTGAAGAAGAAGAAGAGGAGGAGGAGGAGGAGGAGGAGGAGGAGATTGGATTTATACCCCAACCTTCATTTGGAGTCTCAGAGTGGCTTACAAAATCCTTTCCCTTCCCCTCCCCACAACAGACACCCTGTGAGGTAGGTGGGGCTGAGACAGCTCTCCCGAGAACTGCCCTTGACAGAACAGCTCTGAAAGAACTTAAGAGTGACCCAAGGTCACACCAGCAGCTGCATACAAAGGAGTGGGGAATCAAACCCAGTTCTACCAGAATAGAGTCCACACTCCTAACCACTACAACAAACTGGAAGGTAACGAGGCTGCCAGGAATCAGCCAGGTACAGCATCGGGAAGGGAGTGACTGAGAAGCCGTTCACATTTCAGAGGTCCATTATCAGGAGCCTCTGAGTGACCCCCCCCCCAATGGCCATCAGAGGTCCCTCTGGGGGATATGGGTGGCTCCGTTTTTGCAAGTCCTTCTAATCCTGCATGCCAGCCATTTTTATTTTTTTTTGGTTTTCGCCCAACCCACTGTCAGCAAGCTGCCAATGAATGTCATTCAGTGTATATATGAGTCCCCTATATCCAGACCCCCCCCCATGTATTGTGCAAACTGTTCCTATGTGTTACTGCTTGCTAATTATGTAGAAATGCTGGCGCATGCGTGATATATGAAATGACTATGCTTGTTAGGGAACCGCTTTCTTCTCAAGGGCAACAGGTGTGAGATAAGGAGTTTTTAGCTTTTGTTTTAATTAGTAAGAACTGTGTGAACTGCTAGCTGCTGATAGCAGGGGGCGTTGCTTTCTCATGAAATGAGCGCGCAAAACTGCTCTGGATGTCAGGGCGGGAATAATGATCATTGGTTAAAAGTGATTATGATTTCCCTTTATGTTGCTGGGGCTTCCGCATTATGTTATTCCAATCAGAGACCTGTTCAGCGATCCATGGCTTCAATAAAGCAACCTTTTCTATGAGAAGTGACTCCGTTGAATCCAGGTGAAACCTGACACCCACCTTCCCTGGGAATATTAACCAGGTTTCGGGTTAACACCAACCAGACGGAACAGCCCACCCAAATTCAGGGGACAAGCTGTGGTTTGTTTCTCCTCTGGGGTCAGAGGACCTTTCCCCTCGGAGGCTCCGCCCGCCCGGTTGGAGCCCCATTTCCGGCTGAGGCTGCAGTCTGGAACTCACCTGCCGACACGAAAAAGATCCCGGCGCTCAGGATGACGTTGAGTTTGCTCTTGTAGAACTCACTGGCCGCCACACACAAGCCCCCGAAGAACAGAAGACCCACGCTCAGGATGGGGAAGATGCTGGATGCCCTCACGGCACCTGGAAGAGGAGAGGAGGAGGAGGAGGAGGAGGAAGGGGTGGGGCCTGCCCAATCCGCACCCACGGCAGACTTGAGAGCAGGGTTGGTTAAGCATCCCAGGCTGATGGATTCTGAAGCCCAAGAGCAAAAGATCTCTCCTATTTCTATCTCTCCCTTCCTCTAAGGCAGGCCTCCCCAACACGGTGCCCCTGGGCATCACAGCAGTGCCAATGTTCCCTCTAAGCTGCGTTAGTGTGAGCTAGCTCAGTTTTTTTAGCCTCCGGCTCACACATTTTTGTCTTGGCTCAGGAAGGAGGGCTCCAGAGCGAACTGATTTATGTAGTAGCCAAATGGCTCGCTCGCAACTTTAATGCCCAGTAGCTCACAATGTAGAATTTTGGCTCACAAGACTCCACACCGTAGAGGGAGCATTGCACAGCAGCACCTGCCAATACCTTTCCGGGCACTGCCATTTTTTTAGAAGGTGGGCGGGCCCAGATGGGACTTTAGCTCGGCAAGGCTTCTAATTGGCCACGGGAGATGTGATTGGCGGTGCAGAGCTTTCGAAGTGTTGCTTTGGCAGCAGCTGCCTCCAGGGCACGTGGATCTTCAGTCTGGGAATGAAAGTTGGCTGCGGCAGGCGTTTGGTGGCTGTGCCCACCACGCAGTGTCAGAATTCCAAAGGTGCCCACGGGCTCAAAAAGGCTGGGAACCAGTGCTCCCTTCTGAGCAAAAATTCTACAGTGAGCGACTGGCATTAAAGTGGTGAGTGAGCGGTTTGGCTGCTGCATCAATGAGTCTGCTCTGGAGCCCTCCTTCCTGAGCTAAGACAAAAATGCGTGAGCAGGAGGCTAAAAAACGGTGAGCTAGCTCACACTGACTCAGCTTAGAGGGAACACTGGCTGCAATGCTCCCTCTAAGCTGTGGAGTCCTGTGAGCAAAAATCCTACTCTATGAGCTCCTGGCATTGAAGTTGTGAGCCAGCGATTTGGCTACGGCGTAAATGAGTTTGCTCCGGAGCAGTGTTCCCTCTAAGCTGAGTGTGAGCTATCTCACAGTTTTTTAGCCTTTGGCTCACAGATTTTTGTCTCTACTCAGGAAGGATGGCTCCAGAGCAAACTAATTGATGCAGCAGCCAAATCGCTCACTCACAACTTTAACGCCAGCAGCTCGCAAAGTAGGATTTTTGCTCACGAGACTCCACGGCTTAGAGGGAGCATTGCTCCGGAGCCATCCTTCCTGAACGAAGGCAAAAAGCTGTGCACCAGAGACTAAAACACTGGGAGTTAGCTCACACTCACTCAGTGCTCTAAGGGTACTGTAGATGATTTTGTCATCTTTTTTATTATCCTTACAACCGCCCTGTGAGGTAGGCTGGGCTGAGAGCTCACGACAGGCCAAAACTCACTCTGCAACTTTCACGGCTCAATGGGGACATTTGGGACCCATGTCCATCCCTCTGGCCGCTGGGCCACACACTGGGGTCTGTGGTGGGGTGGTTCAGAGATACTTAGGAAAGTCAGCATTCTTTGTTATATCTGCCCTGCTCCTTCCTCTTTGGCTCCCTGGGCAGACTTGATCAGGGAAGCCTTGGGGCTTTCCAATTATTGGGCACATCTTGTTTGGGGTGTGTGTAGAGATGTGAAGGCCCGGAAAAAAAACGGAAAAATTCAGAAAAAAAAGTCCCCCCCATCAGGAAAAAAAAGCCCCCCCCCCCCGTTTTTTTCCTGCAGCCTTTTTTGTTTTTTCCCCAAAACTTGGAAAAATGGAAAAAAGAAAAGAAAAAAATTGATTATGGAACGTTTTATTTTAACATGATGAATAAAATATTTTAAGACCAGGTGTTCAAATATTTTCCAAATCATTTCTTATATATATCCAATGCAAGAACAAGATGCATTTCTTCCTTTAGGAAGTGCGATTGTCAGAAGAAAATAAAAAAGTTTCAGTTTTGCATGTGGGTGGGTATCCTGTAATAATTGTTTGGATACACTATATTTTTAATATGCTAGTTGTGATAATTTCATGCCAAGTAAAAATGTCCATAGTCCTATTTTATGTTCCTAAAGTAACAGAATGACTTTCAAACTAGAAAAGACAAAAGAAATGCTAATGTAGCATTTTTTCAATTTTTCTGAAAATTTCCGTTTCCCCCCGAAAAAACCCGGGAAAGAAACGGAGGTTTTTCCGAGCTTCAAAATTTCCGGAAATTTTACATCTCTAGGTGTGTGTGAGTATTTGTGTTTGTGTGCGCCTGGGTTGACTTCTAGAGTCCCCTAGTGGGACTTGGATGTTTCAGAGAGGTGGCTTGCTATTGCCTGCATCTGTGTCCCAGAGAGGTGGCTTGCTATTGCCTGCATCTGTGTCCCAGCCCTGGTATTCCTTGGAGGTCTCCCATCCAAGTACCGACTGGGCATATCTTTTGAAGACCAAGTCCTCAGCATTTCCCACCACAATGGCTGGATTTTCTTTGGGGGGGGGGAAGCATGGAAGGCAGGAAACACGGGAATGGAATCCACTGCTGTTGGAGACACTGGGGAGAAGGCAAGAAAGGCTGCCTCGAAATGTAACCCAAATGCTCTAGGAAGGCCCTGAAAGGTTTTGTTTGGGAAGCTGCTCCCATCTCCTTGCCCCGAGGGGTGCCCTCTGGCCTGCTGGCTCACACTCACACACACGCTCCCCTTCCCAACCCCGAACGACAGCCACCCAGGCACATACGCAGGAGGTATTCCGCCGCATCCTGTTCATAGTCGCCATCTTCCGGAAAATGGTTGATTTGTTTACAGATTCCTCGGAAGGTCCCTGAGGAAGAAACACAAGAGAGGCGTGGGAAGGAGTCGAAACCCTTTGAGCCTGTTTAGTCGTTCGCTTAACAAAGAGGTCGGAGAGTGATTCAGCAAAGAGATAGCTTTATTCATCAACTCGAACACAACTCCAACACGGATCAACATTTGATAGCCAGAACATGCTGTTCCCTTTTTAAACTCTCCCGGCTAATATAGCCACGCCTTTACTGTACATTATCAACCAATGAGATTGTCTCCATAAGGACCAATCATTGACATTCCCGCTCAGGTAGCTTGCTGATGTGCGATTGGTGGGTTCTTCCTGGGCTAGCCATGCGATTGGGTTCATTAGGATCCTAGCCCAAGACGAAGCTTAACATTGCTTTTCTATGAGGTGATTCGCAAACATGTTTAGGCATTCAATGACAGCTATTGAATATACTACAGAACCCCTTCACCCCTCCTTAGAGCGTGCAGACCTTTCCCAGAAACAAACAGAAAGAGAAAGGGAGGCAAAAACAAATACAGAACTTTAACACACACACATGCGCGCGCACATGCACGCACACGCATGCGTACCGCCAGGGCTATTTTGGGGCAGGAACGCACAGGAACGGAGTTCCGGCTGGATCCCATGTTGGCCACCCCCAGCAGGAACTCATTAGCATAATAGGCCACACCCAACAGCAGGAACTCATTAGGATTGGCTACATTAGGGGTGTGTGGCCTAACATGCAAAGGAGTTCCTGCTACAAAAAAAACCCTGGGTTTTGACCACAAACAAGGTAAACAGAATAACAAGCAAAAGGTGGGTGTGGCTGGATGACCACACTTCTGGTAACATGGGGGTGCGGCCTAATGTGCTAATGAGCTGTGCTGTCAGGGGTGTGGCCTAATATGCTAATGAGTTTCTGCTGTTGGGTGTGGCCTATTATGCTAATGAGTTCCTGCTGGGCTTTTTCTACAAAAAGAGCCCTGCGTACCGCCAAGTTATCCGTGGTCTCTATTTGTGGCCGAGAGGGTGCCGACACTGACTTTCTCCACCATGAAAGCCTTGAGATCCTTGTTTCCGAAAAGCGCACAGACTGCCCGATTAAGCATCTCCACAAGTTCTCTGCACCACCAGCGCAACATTCAGAGGGCTCACATCCCCTGGTGACCATCCACACTCCACCAAGGCCTCCCTGTGTGGATATGGCCTGGGAGGAATTCCCTAGGTGTGCCTCTGATTGTGAGAACTCATAAATGCCCCAGCAGGGTGACAGCCATAAGTAGCAGAGAAGTTACCAAAGGGTTCACATTAAAAACAAAAAAACAAAACTCAGTTCTGGCAGGTCAACCACGTGCCCGCATCAAGAAGAAGAGGAGGTTGGATTGATCCCCCACTCGGAGTCTCAGAGTGGTTTACAATCTCCGTTCTTTTCCCCTCCCCACAACAGACACCTTGTGAGCAATGCATGCTCCCCTCTAAGCTGTGGAGTCTTGTGGGCAAAAATTCCACTTTGTGAGCTGCTGGCATTAAAGTTGTGAGTGAGCGATTTGGCTACTGCATAAATTAGTATGCTCTGGAGCCATCCTTTCTGAGCTAAGACAAAAACGTGTGAGCCAGAGGATAAAAAACTGTGAGCTAGCTCACCACTGCCACAGGAAGCGGTGGCAGCTACAAGCATGGACGGCTTCAAAAGGGAATTAGATAAGCATACGGAGCAGAGGTCCATCAGTGGCTATTAGCCACAAGGTATAGATAGGGGCTCTGGGGCAAGGGATGCGCTGTCTTCTTGGTGCTTGGGGGGGTCAACAGTGGGAGGGCTTCTAATGTCCTGGCCCCACCGGTGGACCTCCTGATGGCACTGGTATTTCTGGCCACTGTGTGACACAGAGTGTTGGACTGGATGGGGCTTTGGGCTGATCCAACAATCGC